TCTCTCTCTCTCTCTCTCTCTCTCTCTCTCTCTCTCTCTCTCTCTCTGTGTCAGATCCTTATTCTCTCTCTCTTTTGCTTTTTATTTCCTGCTCGGTCACCCCAGATCATCTCAGGCCAGTTCCTGTCAGATAAGAAAGTAGGCACGTACGTGGAGATCGACATGTTCGGCTTACCGGTGGACACCAAGAGGAAAGCGTTCAAGACCAAGACTTCTCAAGGCAACGCCATCAACCCCGTCTGGGAAGAAGAGGCTATTGTCTTCAAGAAGGTCAGACTCTGTTCTCAGTAGCTCGGTGACACATTTGATGGCAAATACAAATACAGGCTCACATTTGTAATCGCTGTATCTTCTAAAGCCTGAACCTTTCTGTGAGGAACTGAATCAAATAGTTCATTTTGATGAACTAATGAGTGCATCCTATACATTTTCCTCAGGTTGTTCTGCCCACGCTTGCTTCGCTAAGGATAGCTGTGTTTGAAGAAGGAGGGAAGTTCATCGGCCACCGTATCATTCCTGTGTCAGCCATCCGTCCAGGTGACAAAGTTTTGTTTCAACTTGTTTCAACAGTTTAACTTGATGACTTATTCCACTTTTCTTAGACGGGTTAAGAATAAAGGAAATGTGAAAAGTCACACAAGCCTTTCAATCTTTGAAATACACCATCAGAACAATGTTTAAATGTTAACAGAAGATTTGGTGAGTTGGATGCTTTGCTGCTCTGTTACTGTTATTTGTGACGCTTAATCTGACTCTGCAGGCTATCACTACATCAGTCTGAGGAACGAGAAGAACCAGTCCCTGACTTTGCCGACTCTGTTCGTGTATGTGGAAGTAAAGGACTACGTCCCGGACACATTTGCAGGTAAGTCAGGTGAACATGTAAAAGTAAAGTGCAGAAAACACTGCAGGTCCAAAAGCTGATCTGTCCTCCTGCTGTTCCTCAGATGTCATCGAAGCCTTATCCAATCCCATCCGCTATGTCAACCTGATGGAGCAGAGAGCCAATCAGCTGGCTGCTCTCACCCTGGAGGAGGGAGGAGAGGAGGAGGGTGACAAAGAGGTGTGTGTGTGTGTGTGTGTGTGTGTGTGTGTGCGTGCACGCTCTTCTCTCCATCACATATGCTGGATAGCTCATGTGTGTGTGCTCTTATTTGTTTGTTTTTATGTGTGGAAAGCTTTGTGCCACCGATCAGTCGCTGATTGAGATGAGCAGCCCCCTCAGCCAGCTGGCCACTCGCCTCATCATCAGGACCAAATTAAACCATATGGCAGAGAGAATGAGAAGATGAAGACAGAGTGGAGTGCCCTTTCTTCAGTAAAACCCTATTAAGATGCAATTTAGAAAGAAACATAATGAGGAGGGATTTTAAATTTCACCACACTTTAAAACACAGCTTGTTTCCAGCACGGATCCCCATAGATAACTCTTGTTTGGGGCCATTTTTCACTCCCAGTCGCTCCACGATAAACAGCACTGCAGCCACAGCTGTAGCAGGATGGTTGCTGCATTTCATCAAGTCCCTTCCAGAGTCCACCCGCAGGCTGTCGGGGGTTTCATTGTGTGCTTTCATGGTGGTGTGCTTTATTGTGTTTGCTTATGGGGAGTGACGAGTTTAGATGCTAGATGTCAAAAATCAACACCATTTTCCACAAATCTGTGGAGAAACTAAATTTGTCTGGCTGAAATGACACGATAGCTGATAAGACTGTAACATGGTTACTCCGGCACTGGTCTGGTCTCGGTCATGACTTTGTCTCAGTCTTGACTACAACACCGTCAGGCACTGAGAATCTCAAACAACTGACTAACCAATGACTAACTGAAGTGATGTGTCGTGATTCACATCGTTTCTTGAGGCTGTGTTTCAGAAATTATCCAACTACCGTATATGACTTTCAACTACAGTTGGCAACGACCTTTAACTTTATCACAGGCTTCAGTTTCAACGTCACCTAAATGCCGAGCAGCTGAAGTCCTGGCTGCTTTACACAAAGCTTTTTTCCAAGTGGCATATCTAAGGAGAGATTACACTGCAAACACGTCACGCTAATGAGCCGTCAACACTAGCAGGAGGACGGCAGCCTTGTAAGTGCTGTACTGACAGCGAAGTGGCAGCAATCTTTGTTCATGGTGTCATTTTGAAAGTACTTGAGGGAGAGCACAGGTAGGCAATGATGAATGTAGGCGCAGTGCAACAGGGAGCAGACAGAAGGGTGATATCTGAGAGGCAAGGCAGGACACAGGGTTATCCCGGGTTATAACAAGAGGGGACTGGGGGACTGGGGGGGGGGGTTGGTCCCGAAGGGCTTCTTTTATCTGATTTGCCAGCTGATATGATTACCCGCGAGGATGGCCCACGGGGCGCTGATTCATGTTGTGACCATGGCAACAGTCACCAAAAGTGGTCGAGCGTGGAAAGGCAGAGCACAGTGTGCAGAGATGAATTCAGAGTAGAGCGAGTGGAGAAAGAAGAGAGAGGATCTGGCCAGTGTGACTAGAACAAAGATTATTTTTAATTGCGTTAACGCTTCAGAGATAAGAGTTTGTACTGCGAGATTCAGCGGAGCCTAGGGGGAAATTAAAATCTGCAATGTTGAGAGTGGGTTACCAAAGCTATGTCTACAAACTCTCCTGCAGGACACAGGTACGACAAGAGACTTCCGAAAACAGAAATCCCCACTCGAGGAGTGAATGTATTTGACACTTCATAGCAGGCTCTTGGTGGCTCTGTGACACAGACGATGGAGATATTCAGAGAACTTGTATTCAAGTTTAAACAAAGAAGAGGAAAAATATGATATATTTGTTTTATTTTCTCCGCTGATACCAGAAAGAGAAATGTGTTGTGGATGTTTGTGACAAATGATGCAATGTTTGATTGTGTGTGTGTGTCTCTGATAAACACTGACACGGTATATATGTTGCTGTTCATTTTACGGTGGTTATGTGGCGATGTGTTGACTGGATTTATCCGCGTGTTGAATCTTTCATGTGACGGACAGGTGGAGGCAGGAAGTGATGCCCCCTCAGAGTCTAAGGTGGACCAGAGGGTGACGTTGCCTGCAGAGAACGGACTGAGCCACACACCCATCATCGCCCCGAAGCCCCCTTCGCTGGTCGGCCACCAGCCCCAGTCTGCAGGTACCGTATGAATCCCTCAAATTATGTTGAAACATCATATTTACTTTAAACAAAACTTCAAATATATTGTTAATATATTATCCTATGAGGTGATACTTTAGGTAGTTTTTCTTTAGTAAATGTTCACACCTCACATTTTGCACCTTTTTTATGAAATGTTTATCTGCCCATGTCGAGTATTTGAATCTTCCGCTGTGATTATATTGATAAAAATATGAAAATATGTGTTTACCTAAAGCTCATGTTGTTTGGCTCTAACTTTGTATTTTTGGGGGGATAAACACCGTTCTACTCTTAAAATGAGATGTGAAACTGAACATGTGAACTTGTCTTTGGTAACCAGGCTCATTGAAACCATCAGTGAAGACTGAAGACATCATTCACAGTGTCCTCACTGGTAAGGTTTGGTTTTCAAACTTCACCCTCGAGCATTGACTCTTATATCTGTGGCTATAGAGAGCTGCAGGAATGACTCCTCAAACCTGGAAATGACTCAGCATTTCTGCAAGTCAGTGTGTTTTTTGAATGGGTTTTTGGTTAGATGCCTGAAATACCATCTGTGGTGAACACAAGTTTAGGAGATGTTGTTTTGTTCTAAAGTGTCTTAAAAAGGCGGTTGCTAACAAGTGGCTCAATGAGGTTACAAAACGTCATCACAGACCAGTCTGCCTTTGCAGCCCTGTTGTGTCCATACTCGCGCTCATGTGACCGTGGTGTAGTTTGTTTATAGCCTAACATTTGCTTTTTTACTTGGTGTTCATTTGTGCAGATTATCTTGCTGAACAAAACACTTAAGAATCATTAACTTGTGTTTACCACGGAGCATATTTTATGCAAAAATCCCATTGGCTTTATATGGAGGGAACCATCCCTGCATCCCTGGTTAATTAAGAGCATTCATAACCACAGAAATCATTTTAATAGCTCAATAAGTTCGTATTGTGCAAATGAATTGTAATTTTAAAGATTGCTACTGTTTACCAGAAATGTCTAATGTTATTTCCATACAAAAATGTTGTCACCCTCCTTCATTGGTCCTCCATCCCCCCCTACCTTTAGAATTCGAGGCTCAGACAGTGGAGGAGCTGAAGCAGCAGAAGGGCTTTGTCCGAGAGCAGAGGAAGCAGTACAAGGAGATGAAGGAGCTGGTTCGGAAGCACCACCGCAAGACCAGCGAGCTGATCAAGGAGCACACAGCCCGCGTGTCCGAGCTCCAGAGCCAGCATCAGCGGCGGCGCTCTGCTCTGCAGAAGAGCCACAAACGAGATGGTAAGAAAAGGTAGGTAGCCCTCCTCTTCTCCGCTTCTGAACTGTCCTGCTATTGGTTTACCTCTTCATCTCTTTATTTCCCTTTTGATCATTCTATCTTTAAAGAAAATCCCCCCAAAACACATCAACAGAAAAAGAGGCTATTCGCTTTTGGCTTTTGTTAGCAATAGACATTTTCACTACATAATAAAAGAAAAGAGAAGGCATCAGTCTCTAAGAAGTTTTTTACTACAATAAGACTTTTTGTGTAAGCAGACAAATGATGGTTTTTAGCCGTCGCCATCTTGGCTTTTTGGCAACCAGAAGTGACACGATAGGCGACCAAAATATTACAATTAACTTTATGAAGTGAAAACAAACTGTGAAAGGGTTAAAGTTCTAAGAAGAAAACACAGACCGGACAACGCAGTGGTAGCGACCTGTCAATCACAAGGTAGCCCCGCCCTAAAGCATCCCCTGCTTTAAGGTCTATTTTACTCTCAATAGACCATAATTTACTAAATGAATGCTGTTTTGAAAAATACTAACTAGTGATTGAGATCATAAACTCTTGTTTTTGATGTTTACTGAGTTTATACATCAAGTGAGAAGTAGAGTTATTTTCTCATAGACTTCTATACTGTCAGTATATGACATTTAAATTAAATGACAAGCACAACACATAGTATATATTATGGTGAATTCGTTTCCCATCCGTCCGTCCTTTCCTTCTTTATTCCTTTCTTTCTCCATCTACAGAAATACACAAAACATCCTTCACTTTGAATACAGACTAAAAATCCGCTGTTGCTTGCTCCAAAACAAACAGCACGGGGAAGGCATCGCCCTCTTCAGAAAGAAAAACAAGGAGAATGTTAAAAAAAGCTGTGTGTAGAATTAGAAAGAGGGGATAAGGTTTCCTCTGAGCCTCAGGGACTCGTTCAGTCCTAAGGACCCTTAGGACTCCATCACACACTGAAGAATCAGTACCCACAGCAAAGATTACAGTCCTCTCAGCCAGTGTGGACCGCAGAGGGCCACTGCATAAGACAGATAACACATTTCAACCAAGTTACTTCAAGGTAGAAGATAAGTGCTCTTCCTGATGTCTGGAATAACGTCAGACGTTTTAAAAGACGTTTTATTTTATATAAAGGTGCATATCAGAAACATGAATTTACATTTCCATTTATAGAATGATTTAGGACCACTCTACTGAAAGTGGAGCTGTTATCTTCATTTTGCAGATGTTCTGTTTTTTGTGCGTGACTTGTGTGCGTCTCTAGCCGGTCCGAGCACTCTCTGTCGACCCTGGACCAGGAGCTGTGTGAGCTGGATCAGGAGTACAGCCAGAGGCTTGCAGAGCTGAAGGAGCAGCAGCAGCAACAGCTCCTCACACTTCGCCAGGAACAGTACTACAGTGAAAAGTACCAGAAGCGAGAACACATCAAGCAGGTACGCACAAACACACGTGTGCCTCACACAGTCACGTAGAGTTTGTAGATGTGGGAGGGGGGAGTAAATGGTGAGTAACAGCAGTGCAACAAATCTGTCTCGGACTGCCTGTTTTACCTTCTCTTTCAAGAGATTTCATATCTACACTTTTCTCGTCAACACTTGATTCTAGTGTCCTCTTTTACTGGCACTACTGACAATATGCAATTTCTTTGATTTTCCATTTGCATCCACATGTAATGCTCCAATTCACTTTAGGGCCTTAAAACTGCTTTTGCAATTAGTAGCGAAATGGCCTAATAATTAGGACATTTTGGAGAATAGACAATAAGATGTATCTCTTATTTCTCATATCATATCCAAAAGTTGCTGATCTCCAAAGCCCCATAAAGTATTTCTTTAGTCAATGTTCATTTCGTAATTGTCTCTACTGAACTTGTGTGCCGTCATTGAGCTCTTGTTGAGTGACAGATTGAATGAATATAAATAATATATTTAAGTCATTTCCTTATATGCCCTTTCCCAGAGCTTATAACACCAGTTAGTAGGGCTGTACCAAATGTAAATGTTTAGTAGTCAAAGCTTCTATTGAGGTTTTCAAAAATAAGTCTGTCGTCGTATTTTATGATGTGGGATAAGTAGATTTTTGTTTGTTTGTGGTTTTATAAATGTAAATGATGGTGCTGTTAGATTGCTGCTAAGCCGCCCCTTTAATACAGGTGCATTCCTCCCCTAGTGTGCGCCAAGCACGAGAGAAAACTGTTTATTTTTCTGATCTTTATCTGCAGCTATGCAGAAATACTGGGTTTAAAAAGAGTGAATAGGCAATAGCATTCAAATGTGGTTCAAATGTCATCGTTTTGACATTTATCAATATATACTTATATAGACAAGTCCATATTGTAGCAGCGGGATAAACAAACTTGCCCTGACTTGTGTTAGACTGGATGAAGCGCTGACTGTCTCCTGCTGTCCGAAGGCGTTCACAGATGACTAAATGACTAAACTAATGAATGAGTTAATGCTGCTGTAAACTCCAGGTCACCCCCCTGTAGGATACAACAGCCATCATGCTGCTGCCTGTGCACATGTTCTGTTGTATGGTGTGGAAATATGAATGTCTTCTGCTCCAGTACACCTGCGCAGTGAGCACAGCTGAGGTGTCCGAAAGGTTTATTCAAGCAAAAGACAACAAGCCTAATGGAGATTGTGTTATTTTCCTGATTAAAAAAAAGTATAAAGAAGGACTAATCATCTAAAGCAATCTTAGTCGACTAACACCAAAACGACCGATTAGTCGACTTAGAGGGGGCAGTTCTAGTTTCCCGTCTCGTGACTCTGTTTGGTTCTTTATGATTCCCTCTTTGTCTCTCTTTTTTCCAGCTGGTTGAGAAGCTGACTGCTTTAGCAGAAGAGTGCCAGAGTGCTCAGCTTAAAAAGCTCAGAGACATCTGTGAGAAGTAAGACCGTGCTCAGCATACAGCACACACACACACACACACACACACATTCACACAAACGCAACATTTTCTCCTATGTTTTCATTCTCTACATCGTCCTCTTTCTCCATCTCTCCATCTGCAGAGAAAAGAAGGATCTCAAGAAGAAAATGGACAAGAAAAGGCAAGAGAAGATCAATGAAGCTAAATCTAAAGACAAGAATGTGACAGAGGAGTAAGTATCTGGTTTTGAACATTAATAACCGACAGTTGTTGAAAGGGTGTTATATTTGTATGACCACTAGATGTCACTAAACACTAAAAATCTAGTTGCTTGGTTTTAATGCTGATGAAAATTCTCCCCCTCAGAGAGAAATTGGAGATCAACAGATCGTTTGTCAACGAGGTGGTGCAGTACATCAAACGGGTAAGAGAGGATATGTGTAGTCCATAATGATCATTGCCATATAATATGCTAGTAATATAATAATTCAAACGTGTATTCCATGATACACCTCTGCCTACAATACTAAACATCTGTGGGCATGGCAATATGTCATCGATGATATGCAAAGACCTGATAGTATCTGTATGTGTGTGTGTGTGTGTGTGTGTGTGTGTGTGTGCATGTGTGTGTGTGTGTGTGTGTGTGAGTGTAGTTGGAAGACGCTCAGAGTAAAAGACAGGAGAGACTACTGGAGAAGCACAAGGATATCCGCCAGCAAATCTTGGACGAAAGGCCAAAGGTAAGACATTTATTTAAAAGAAATCTTAAACGAAACTCAAATGTGAAATAACTCTTTATTTCTGATGTGTTTGTTGATACTGTACGCTCTTGATATGTTTCTTTAATTCCATCACATTCTCACCATAGCACATTTTTTAAGTTTTTAAGGTCCGTTGCATGGCAGGATCTACCGTCGGGGCGTCCAGGGTGCTCGGCCCTGCATGTCTTTGAATCCTTGCATGTGCACTTATCTATCGTTATCGGAGGAACTGGGCTCTGATATCGGCCGATGGCTGCGCAGCCGCCACCAGTCACGCAAGGACGTACATGTTATGGATGCTCCATACATATTATGAGGGCCACTATTGCTAAAAACATCTGCGTTCATGTGATTAACACCTGATAATAATCTGAAAAACTTTTAAATGGCACTCGTGCTCTGAGACCAGGAGAGAGGGGGGAGCGCTGGTACTCAGTGTGATCCAGCCAAACGAATCATCAGAAAGCAAATCTCCAAAAACCTTCACAGCATGATTCTCTCTTGGGATAAGGTTAGAACATGTGGGCTAGCCCTTTGAGGTCCTGGTTAACAGCTACTTTTGCGGCAAGTGTTTTTTTTATGTCATATCTGATTTTGAGTTTATTTCTCCTCTCGAAAGTTATCTCGAAAAACACACAGGGAGTAAAAGTAACTGTTTCTTTAATTGACTTACCAAAGCCACAGAACAGCACATCGCCCATTTTAGTATCGGCCGATTAATCGGCTATCGTTTTTTCCCACTCAAAGTTTTGAGATCTTGAGAGTGGTTCATGTTTACTAATATTTTTGGACTGTCACAGACCAATAACCTGTGTGAATTAGTTGCCCTTTAACTGGTGTGGCTACAAATGGCGTCCAGCAACAGACATTTTAAAAATGACAAGAATTAAAACATGTCAGTTGGTGCAGAATGTATACATGGATTCGACACAGATCTTGGGTCAGTATTTTGCTCTTTAGAACAACAGACAACATGAATGTTTCATAAGCTGCGACTAGAAACATTACTTTGGTTAAATCTAAATTGTCCTTGAACCAAATTTTATCTCAAACTGAACACGCTCTATGGATTCACACCACTGGGGGGCGACCTGGCCCAGGTTTAGTGAGACATGGCTCTGGTACATTTGTGCAAAATAACAAGATGACCTCCAAAATCAAAGAAAGTTTTTTTCCACCAAAACATTTGTGCTGATATCAGAATATATGTTTAAATATACCTGCTGAACTGTATGTGGTCGCATTCAGTAGAAACAGTATCGCTAAGTGAAAGAGTAGTTTGGTGGTATATTAGTGAAAACTGGTTAATTACCGTGTAAGCTGGAGCTCTCTTGTTGTGGCTGCATCAGTCCTTGGCTGTAATGCATTTCCTGGAGGCAGGATGTAATACCATCATGCCTCTCTGCTGGAAGTTTTAGCATGACTGCTTTTCCTTTATGAGTTGCGCATTGCCCAACGTTGTCATTGTGACTGTCATTGTAGGACGACTGTGCAGCTGAGGAGCATGGTAAGCCCATCGTTGCATCCCGGTATTAATATAGCATCAGTGCGGCGGCGTATTAATATGCAAGCTTCTACACACCTGGGACATTGACTGGCAACAAGTGACTGCGCGTTGCATCTCTGTAACAGCTGAGACCTGACAAGCATAATTGCCACAATGCAGAATACTGTTATGAATCTTTGCAAATGCATTATGGATTTTTCCTGCAAGAACGTCAAATACGGTGTGGCTGTAAATGTGGGTGTAATCTGCACAGCATGGCAGCATCACAATATAACAGGGACAGCAGATTGGCCTGTGAATAGTGAGATCACACCCCAGTCGGAGGGCTCGTATTTGATCCCACGTGTGGATGTGTCCTTGAGGAAGAACCAGAGGGAGAGAACATCACCATTTTGGGTTACTAACAAGGTATATCAAATCAACTTAACAGTTTGTTCTGTTGAAACCATAAATGACTCAGGCACTGCTGTAACACAATGTTGGACTCTTATCAGCATGCATAGTTGTCTCACTTGTTAGATATTTGTAATATGTTACCATTATTCTAATCATGGACATGTAGTGTGTCACAGTCATAGCGCTAATATAATTGCATGTGGTACTACTACATCCACTAAACACAAAGACAGTAACAGTCATTTTTTCTACTCTCAGTGATTTTCAATGATCTAATGCAGTACTATTGTATTGCAACACACTGCCAGCGTAATCAAGATTACATCTGCTTGCCAAGGAGACACTCCAGTGTGATCCCCTCGTTATGTTTTACTCTTGTTGTCAAATGGAGAGCATAGCGCACACAAACCATAAGTTCTTTTTAAGGACATAAATCGGAAGTGTTCTGTTGGAGACAGCCCCGTAACCACTCACTCTCAAAGTGACGGCTCCTTGTTCCATCTGAGACCACTTGTTGTTGAGTGTGGGAGGTGCAGTGCAGACCTCCAGCCCAACACTTCACATTCAATATGGAGAAACTAAGTGAGACTAAAATGCTGACCAGAGGGCAGTGCTCCCTTTTAAGGAGATCCTGTGGGGACTTTCATCATCTTTTGATTGTTGCAAGAGTATTCTTGTCAATAACAGCAGAATTGCAATGATTTTAAAGTGAGATGAGCCGTGTGAACGATTATCATCAGGGTCTAATCAGCGTGGATTTTCCCCAGACGAGAGGAAGAGGCGCTGCTGTTCTCTCCTCCAATCAGATGTTGGCCACCGTCATTTCCCACAAAATTGTAACTGATTATCCATCACTCAACCGTTGTCGCAATCACTTCTCTAAATTGACATCCGGACATTGGCAAATTCAATTCCCCCGAGGAAAGGCTATTAAATAGTAATCAACCATCTCTGCAAAATGTGTTCTCATGCAAAGACACTCATTTATATGCAAAATATGCAAGAGATGTCAGAGAACACGACTCCGGAGACAGCCAGCTGAGAATGCCCAGGGTTATGTTCGTTAAAAAATTCAGGATGCTACCCACAGTGCTGCGATAACAACCAGTTAAGGATGCATCTCTGTGTGGGATTTTGTGCTTAAAGAGATCATTTTGATTTTTTTTTATTTAACCTTCAAGATGTTTTTTCTTAGCCTTTTAAAGGGTCCATTCGGATTCACCAAAGTTACGCAATAACACAAACAAACTAACCAATCAAGGCAGCTGTAGACCAGCAACTTCCGTGTTCTACAAGGTAAAATTGCTGTTTTTTGTCAAAGAAGTCGTGTGGCTTTGAGAAGAGCATAGATAACGGTTCAGTTCCCCATCAGAAAGGGAAGTCTGTCTGCAAAGTAAACCAGTGAAATATTCTAAATATAGTGTAAACTTAAATTGACATTGATTTGTTTTGCTGTCGACAACGTGCTGATACTTCTTCCTATTTCTTCAAACTTGGGGCGTGCCGACCGCCACCTACTGTAGGTAATACACTGAGTTTGGATAAGTACCTCATACAAACCCACTTCAAAAAATCCGAACTGTCCCTTTAAATGGTATTAAAGTGAAATCCTGTGATAAAACAATGTTAATAAACTTTCAGAAAAGAAGGAAACCAGGATGTAATCACTGCGACTCCGGGGTGTCTGTTGTCAACAGTTTTCTTACTGTAGAATACAAAGGCCATGACTATCCTTATCAGTGCCAGTCATGGTTTTTTTTGTTGTGTCAGTTTTTGGCTGCCCTGATTTCATGTTACAGTTGTTTTTTTAATCTTTAACCTTGTCAGATACTCCTCCCAGAATGCCCTTTTCTTTCTTTTCGATATAGCTTTGGAGAGTCAGCTAACAGGAGCTCAGCTCTTTGCATACATGCTCTGAACTTCATTCCCAGCAGCACTTACATGTTGGTTACATACAGCCGAATTAAGTCTGTTTTCCAGCTCTGCCTATTAGCATTTAGAAATGTCCTTGAGCAGAATGCTGAACCCAAAACTGCTCCCACTGAGCCGGTCATTGACCTTGCGTGGCGGCTCCGATACCATCTGTGTATGTGTGAGTGTGATGAATATGAACCCTTGTGAAGCACTTGGCTCTCGGATTTGAAGCTCTTTGTGAATGCAGTCCATTCAGCATGGTTGAAACTCCTCAAAATTCTATTTGAGGCAAAGGGTTGTTGAACCCAGCTCTCTATTAGTCATTTAGTACATGGCATGAATGTAAACAACAACACACATGTAAGCATAGAATGCATTATGGGCTGAAAAACAGGATGTAGAGCGCTCCAATGGGGGCATAAATAGCCAGGGCGGGGCTATTATAAAAATGCTTTTGTTGTGAGTTCCTACGTTAGTCTTCATGGATCAGAGAGAGGAGGATACAACATACTTCTCTCACACAGTTCTGACCCAGTTTCTCCATTGGGCTCAGAGCAGCCACTAATGGACAGCTATAACTATCCCTGGTGGAGACCCTGAGAGCTGAGCAGCCTATTACAGTGGTAGAGGTGTGTGTGTGTGTGTGTGTGTGTGTGTGTGTGTGTGTGAGTGTACATGTGCATGTGTTATACCAACCTAAAGAACTAGCTCGGACTTTTGTTAGTAAGATTTTAAAGGCCTAGCTTGTGATGGTTTGAGAATGAGAAGGGAGAGATGGAAAAAAGGACGAGGAGAGGTTTGTTGTCACTTCCAGCATGGGTGCTCAGGTGTCACTGTTGTGCTAATGATCCAATCAGAACGCCCACCAGGAGACCAATGCTGTTCCTTCCAAGCGGCGACCTCCACTGCTGAGAAATGAAGCCAACACGGAAAAGACTGCAGTTCCTCAAATGGCCACTTGAGGCCGGCTTCAAACTCCAGTCAATCTCCATAGACCTTTACAGCAGAAATAAACTGGCTGGATAAAGCTGATATCTTTTATCAATTGGAAAAGCCAGTCATTGAGATCATTCGCTCAGCTTGATTAAAATAAAGGCTGTTTGAAACCTTCTCATAACATAACCATTTATTACATTAAATTGGACTTTTCAGGAGCTATTTTGGTCCGACTTTAAGCTTTTTACATCCGACCTGTTTAGGCTTTTTTCTCCAACCATCCCAAATGTGGTCAGATCCCACGTTCTTTGAACCAAAAAGGGACAGATAAGATAGACGTCTAGTGACAAGGACTCCGTCTCAGCCTCCAGACTAAAGGCTTACAAGGCCATATTGTAATTCCTCTGTAGTAGTCATCCCCTCACACACACCATTTTTGGCTGTGAAAGAGAATATTAAATAGTGATAAGGCCATATGTTTCACAGCAGTGTGCGTTGGTGTGTGTGTGTGT